AGGCAGGGCTGGTGGAGGGGGCAGCTAGGGCCCGGCAGGGCTGGGGGAGGGGGCCTGCAGGGCAGCCAGGGCCCGGCAGGGCTGGTGAAGGCCTCCAGGGCTGGGGGGCTAGGCAGGGCTGGTGGAGGGGGCAGCTAGGGCCCGGCAGGGCTGGGGGAGGGGGCCTGCAGGGCAGCCAGGGCCCGGCAGGGCTGGTGAAGGCCTCCAGGGCTGGGGGGCTAGGCAGGGCTGGTGGAGGGGGCAGCTAGGGCCCGGCAGGGCTGGGGGAGGGGGCCTGCAGGGCAGCCAGGGCCCGGCAGGGCTGGTGAAGGCCTCCAGGGCTGGGGGGCTAGGCAGGGCTGGTGGAGGGGGCAGCTAGGGCCCGGCAGGGCTGGGGGAGGGGGCCTGCAGGGCAGCCAGGGCCCGGCAGGGCTGGTGAAGGCCTCCAGGGCTGGGGGGCTAGGCAGGGCTGGTGGAGGGGGCAGCTAGGGCCCGGCAGGGCTGGGGGAGGGGGCCTGCAGGGCAGCCAGGGCCGGGCAGGGCTGGTGGGGGGCCCGGCAGGGCTGGTGGGGGGCCTGGCAGGGCACGCCAGCATCAGCGCGAGTGTCTGAAGTGTGAATTATCAGCATAGCTTCTCGTTCCTCCAGCCCACTTGATGACATCAGTGTGTCGGGTCATGCACCGGCTACCTCTTTCCCCCCGTGACCTACTGCTTCCGTACAGGGACAACACCACACACTAAAAAGATAAAAAGCAGTCGTGAAAAACACTTGACAATCAATGACACCTCCCGTACTTACGATCCGTCGTGAAACATGCTCAACTTGCAAGTAATCCTTGAGAAATTTATGAGTAAAAGTACTCTTGCGGAGTTTAACCTTTAACAACCATCCATGAACATAATTGACACCTTTTACGACTTTCAGGGATTATACTAGGCATGTGTAAGAGATCAAGGTGAATGATAATACGCGAGATTAACTTATAACTTATTAACCTACTTATAAGTTTCTTAGATTATAAGGACCTGCCCGAAACGCTGCGCGTACTAGTGGCTTTACAAGAATGTAATTACTATGCTATGTATTCTCACAATCCCAATGTACCTTCTTGTATATATATAAATAAATAAATAAAGATTGGTGCTATGGGTATGTTCACGCGCACACGCATACTGTCACACGGGCACACGCACTTGTGGCCTCATCCCTCTCTTGCACTTTACCCTCGTGACACGCTACCATCACTACTCTGCACTCCTCATTTGACTCATTTACTACCATTTTGTATGAACAGTCTGGAGGATAACACGCTGTACCCGAGACTCGTGCTGCGCCGCCAATTAGACAAGCACGCCGGGCGAGAATGTTTGGCGAATGCTGCATAGGCCTACAACGCCCTGGCTTAGAAGGGAGAGGAGGGCTTGGTTGAAATTGTGCCGTGAGGGGGGGGGGGGGTCACGGACCCAAGGTGGGTCCCAAGAAAGTCCGCCCCCCCCCCCCCCTCCAACCTGCAGAGTGAAGATGTATGCCGATGCATGAAGTAGTTTAGCTGTTATTGCTGTTTTAGATTCAGCTACTCGGAACAAAAGTTCCAAGTAGCACGGGCTATGGTGAGCCCGTAGTGGATTTTGAGTAGTTTAGCACATAGACGGTGCTAAATAGCTTTCCTGGCTTGGTGTCTTTTGTTACACACTTGCGTCTCCTGACTTGGCTTGCATAAATAGCCTGTGAGTTGGTACCTGAACTGTGTTCAGTAATGGTGATTATACTAAGAGAATATGACTGTACAGACAGTATCCTCGATAACGATCATTAGTTTGACAAAATAAACCAGGCAAATATTGCGCTCTTACAGCAGATCATTCACCCTTCAGTTAATATTGTGGCTGACGTCACTCGCCGAGTGGCAGCTATGGAAAGCACAGAGCATGTTGCTTGTTCTGTGGGTATTATGATGACCACATTCATGTTGACCAGACCACACACTAGAAGGTGAAGGGACGACGACGTTTCGGTCCGTCCTGGACCATTCTCAAGTCATCAATCGACTTGAGAATGGTCCATGGACGGACCGAAACGTCGTCGTCGCTTCACCTTCTAGTGTGTGGTCTGGTCAACATACTTTAGCCACGTTATTGTGACTCATCGCCTGCACCACCTTCATCTGCGCCCCCTATGGCAGGGGGGCGTCGTCTCCGGTGTTCACGCCTACTTGTACGCTCACGCGGCCGCCACTTAACCCGTGTTATGGCGCCCCACCAGTTTATTTTCACCGCGTGTTGATATAGGGTAGTGCCTGTGCTTGGGGGCAATTTGCTCTTGTTATTATCATTTGAGAGTTTATTGCCGTACCAGTCGTTTATTTTAGTATTAATATTGTATTTGTGTGTTGAAGCCGAATTGGTCGTCATCGACGGCGAGGGTTGAAGCCTCCTGGATTACCTTCCTCTTTTAATAGTCTAATATATATATATATATATATATATATATATATATATATATATATATATATATATATA